CCCCAAAACCCCAAAACCCCAAAACCCCAAAACCCCAAAACCCCTCAATTGAGTTTTATTGATTATAATTAGGTTTTTAGAAACGAAATAATTTAAATAGATTTAATTAGTACTTTAAAGATCAAGGTTTACTTAAAATATGTTAGATATTATATACAACTACTAATAAAATAGAAAATTGCTCATAACTTAATCTTATATTCTACATAGTCATGAGTAATGTTTAAAGTTGACATATCAAACTCTAAGGGAATTTCATAAGTTCATTTTTTCATCGAAATTTCATTATTAATTTTTCTTGTATCTATCTGAGTAGTTAATGGATTACTAAAGAGAAGGTTAAAGGGATGCTTGCATAAATCTAAAGCTTTTATTTTCAAATTTTTATAAATCCTTTGCTGGTCTATAGGTCTGCTACTCACTTTAAATAACCTGATTTCCTCGAGAGGATAAATATTAGCGGTCGATGAAGTCTTATTTTTATATAGGTTATCTGCTTTCCTGTTAATGATGCATTTATTAAGATAAAGGATTCTGCTAGGTGAGATTGTCTAAGAACTTCGCAAAATTTTTGAAAGCAATCATGACTACGCTTAGATTATCTAGAGACTCCTTAATCATTCCAGCTTTAAGCACTCTCTCAACAGCTTAACCACATATTTCATTAATATTTGTATTTTAGATGTCTTGAGATTAGGACTAGCTGTTGATATTGTGCTAAAGTTGCCATGCGTAGCCGATAGTTTCTGAAGTAGAGAGACGATCAAATATTCCATCACTGGCAATTAAGATAAAATCATGGGAATTTTCATTTAACTTAAAATGAGTTATATCAGGAACAGCCACAACCACCTTAGGATTTCCTCCAAACTGCTCTAGCTTGGCATGAGCATCACCAAATGTTCTAGATACCTAGAAAATAATGATTTTATTGATATATTACTGATAAACGACCTGGCAATACTCTTACAGGTCCTATATTCATCGAAGCTGCTCCTTAGGCCACTCCACCAGTATGAAGGATCTGATTGTTCTAATATAGCTAGCCTCCATTAGCTATTATTCTCTTCTTCTCAAAATCTTCACTGGGCTTGTGATCCTTTGTTAATGAATCTGACCTCTAACCGTTATTCCTAAAAATCAAGTTATTCGCTTTTATTTTACATAGATATAATGGCTCTAGAATCTCCGACATTGGCTGTATAAACTATATCATCTACAATTAATACTACACAGGCACAAGAACCTGACTTTTCTTTTATTATTTGTTGATTTTACTTCATAAATTCGTCTTCAGCTTATTTGAACCCTTATTTTAAGGCTATTTCTGGGGTATTTGGGAAGCCTTCTTATTGGGCAACAAACAGATGGAGATTATCTCTAAGATATTCTGCACATGCTGAACCACCATGGCCATCGAATACAGCAAAGAAAGAAACCTTTTTCACTTGACTATTACCTTAAGCTCCTGGTTTCTTTAAATCAAGTACTATTGATACTCGATCTTCATTATAGCCTCTAGCAATGCCATTATGTGTATTGGCTGCATAGGCCTATATAGCTCCCCATGGTTTTTGAGAAATCTTGGAAGGTTGAATTGCAGGTATATTGTTCGAACTAGAACTATTAAGATTTTTTACAAGTATTGAATTAGCTTAAATTGGAATAGGATTTCTTTAAGAGGAACTAAGAGGATTATTTCTAATTATCTCAATTGCAGACTAACTAATTTTAGATTGCTTGTTTAAGCTCTAGTTATATTTATGAGAGAGAGACTCATTTTAAGCTTATTAACCATTTGTGGGTGTTGTCAAAGTATTAAAATTTGGTTGAATCATTGATGACTTAACATCCAATGAGTGTCTTATTGAAGCCATTTTCTTTCTTGCCTAGTTCATTACTAGAGATTGAGCTCTTTCCTTTTAATCCTATGCAAGTTTATGAGTGAGAAAAGAAGTAGAATTTGGTAAAGGAACATTTCCAGAATTGCTGTTACCGTTTTCCTAATTCTAGCTATTCTTGTTATTAGTTGAATAATAATTTTGACTTAATGGATCACCTTATTGTGTCAATGGAATTCCAGATTCTTCTTGGTCTTCATATCTGGCTTGAATACCTCCATGTTTTCCAAACATATTTGGTTTAGCCATCAATCTAGTAGGGAGAACTGAATAAAACTAGGGCTATTATTACTATTAGTGTGAAGGTAACTAGTTAGTTATATGATTCTGATTTACTTGACTGCTATAAATACCACTATTGCTTGCTAAAGAATTATTACTACTATTGGAATTGTGATTGACTTAGGATTAATAATGCTGAATGCTAGACATTTAAGGTGTTCCAGATTAAGTAGTATTTATGATGTGATTTGCTAAAATATGCTTTGAGTTTATAGTTTTCTGATGTTACGGTGTTTTGAAGCTTTAAATTGCGGATCCTGCTCCAATACTCCCATTGTTTTAAGATGAGTAAGGGCTTTGATACTAGAGAGGGGTCACTATACTCAGATTGTGTTAAGGACTACCAACATTATTTGAGTTTCCTTTCAATGTTTGATGAAGACCCTGTGATTGGTTATTAGCTGAAACCAAGTGAGAGGAGTTATGCTGAAATTGTTATTGCAATTGCTAATGCTGTGTGCTCGATTAATTATTGTACATGGTTCTATTCTTATTTTCAAAAATTATATAAAAGTTATTTATTTCCTTAGTAATTCTATCTGTCTTTTTAAACTTCGATAATTCTGTAAGCTGGGGTTTTGGGGTTTTGGGG